TCATTTGGCGAAGCTCGCAGCGTTAGAAACAAAAACAAGAGAGCAGTCTAACGACGTCAAAGTAGCCGCCGCGGCGTTTCAAAAGCCTGCGAGTAGGTACTTTGTTACCCCTGTTTCCCCAGAAGATACGGGCAAAAGCAATTTGGAATGCGAAAGTGGGTCGGTTGGTCATTCAAATTTACTAGTGAAAATCTCGCGCCAATAACAATGAGTACTGCTGCAGTGGCATAGTAACGTAGAAATGCTTACACATTTAACTAACTAACAAGAACAAGTAGCACTTGAAGCTTACACTGCTGCCCCAAAATTCGCTCAGGCGAAATGGCGATCAAATAAAGTCGAGTACTTGTGCACTTCTACATAGTTTGTTAAGGCAACAACGACGCCACCGCCACCATGTCAGCGATTTGGCCTGATTTCATAAGTGGTTAATTAACTTTTGGAACTACATACATACATATATGTATATATTTTTGTTTTTCAACTGCTGCAACCCGCACAAAAAGAGAATATTTTCGCACAGCTGCGATTTCCACACTTATGCCATGCTTAGTGTGGCATTACGCTGAGTAAAAGTTCTAGCAGTTGGTTAATCCGAAAGCTGTAAGCATTCCCGCCAAAAGCAAAAAAAAATGCCTTTCCTTCCTGAGTCGATTTTCCCTACCGCTCTAGCAGCTAGCAAACTTATTAAAGCATAAGACGTCATGTTGCAAGTGGCAAGTGCGCATAAATTGCTGAATTGCTGAATTGCTGAATTGCTGAGTGTGGCATGCACCAGTTAGCGTGTTGCGACGACTGCCAGCACTACATTAATTCTACTTACAATAAAACTAAGGCACAATTGTGCATATATATATATATATATGTATTTGTACCAAATAGCGAAATACATACTTCTGTGGTACTAAGCTTGCATGTACACACTTATACATAAGTACATATTTAGTTATACCTAGTACATACATATACATATACATATATGTATGTATGTATATAACTCCAATTTGTTGGCACAATCAACGAACTGTGAAATTCTCAAGCTAACAATTGTTTGCGGATTTTTCTCACGCGCTGAGTGCGCAAAAGCAAACATAATATAAAAAATAATGGAAAAACATAATCTAGAATTAAATATCAAGAAAAAATTATTATAATTGTACGCGTAGCTCAACGTAGGCGCGAAATAAGTGGTGGATTATTATAATACGTCTAACATATTTTTATTTTATTTATTTATTTTTTTTTCAAATAACAAATTTTTGCACTCGCATGCCAAGTGGGTCGTTATTCTGTAAATTAACAAAATGTGTTATGCTATTAAATGCGGTTTAAGTGCAAACTGTGAAAACGTAATATGTGTATGTTTTATAACAAATCAACAATAGATACTTGAAAAAAAAGAAAAAATACAAATTATCTAATAATTCTTAAGCCTGGTTTAAATGCCACAGGTCAACAATAAAAAAAATTATGGTGCCGGAATATCTTTAGAGGTTTGTTATATGAGATGACTGGACAACATGGACATGGACATGGACAGATGGAGATAAAGGTTTAGGGTGTCAACGTTTTTGGACAATTTCAGTAGTGCTTGAAGCCCAAGTGTTGTCCCGTCTGCAAGACTATTAATCGCTGGAGCTCCAACATATTTCAATTGGTTTTGGAATATTATGCTTCTGTTTCTAGAACCAAGTGATTTCCGCTCTTTGCAATCTCAT